GAGTGCGCGCGCACAGTACGCAGCGTATTTGCCGCACTCCGTTCTTGCAAGAGGGGAGACGTTATAAGAATGTGGTAATCACAGATCACAGAAACTAAAGGGAAATGTGACAAGGGGCCGGGGCCTACTAAAGATTATTATTGGAACGTTGAGTACTAATACTGCAGTGGATAATGAGCAACATTCAACCTAACAGAATGCATTCAATCGCACGTCACTGCGTATGTAGTGGTACTGTACGTACATTACTTGCAACGTAGTATGCGAACAAATAGTAGCTCTGAATGCGATGTATGCATGACACACACTCTTCGCGACGTACTGTTTTTATTTTGATTACTTTGTGTGTGTGAATTTCTAATGCGACACTGAGTTTCGAACTCAGCGCATTAGTTGGCATCTCTCTATGGTAATTATATTATGGGTGTAATGGTCAACAAAAAAACTTTATCATGAGCTGTCAAAAGGCTGTTCTAGTGTTATTCGAAGATTAAACTTTCTATTAGACACCACTAAGACATTGAGATACATTATAATGTGTGATCGAAACGTTTCTTCTTCGCAGTTTTTACGAGAAGGAAGACGTTTAGCGTCATTTATTTTCTTTTCATAGGTTATTTGTTTCCTCCAAAAGAATCTGGAGTTAAATAAGCCTTGAAGAGTTGTGTTGACGATATATTCGTAAAAATTTTATATGTATAGCCTGACCAGGAACATAAAAACCCTCGCCATGTTGCGGAAAACTAATGGTACTAATTTCTTTTAATAGCAACAGTAACTGAAAACTTCATCATAATGTCACCTTGCATGTCAGTCTATTGCTGTCATAGTGTAAACAAACTTTATTTTAAATGTGCGCAATTGATTTTGTGAATTAAATTGCTAAAATCTTTTTATAGTCGTGTAAGAAAAGTGGTTCCAAATGTGTTAAAGTATTTGTCGAAGAGAAATACTAAGGGTTCGGACAATATTTTCATTGAATAATGTTTCCGACAAAGGTTGTCAAATTGACTGACAGTTTATCGTATAGTACAGTCAACTATGAAAATTAGCTGTGGTTTGTTTCAACTACCTATTTTAAAGTTTTTTGTCACTTTTTAAGTGTTGAATTTTATGGAATTGGGAAAGAAGTACCGAGTTTGAAGCGTTCTTAGCAGACATTGCAGTTGAATATTCAAGTTCTGAATTTTATTATTGATGAATAATAAAATTAATCCTACTAGCTCGATTGATGGTTTCATTTAATTTATTTAAACCAGGTTACCTATAATAATATTTTTTCGTGAATTATGAAAATATCAAATTAGCCCGTAATCCTGAATCCTGATACATAAAGTTAGCCTATTAATTTAACACAGGTACGACTGTACTCAGTGTTGCACTATCAAATGCAATTGACGCGCCTCTATGCCAGGGTTTTTATGTTCCTGGTCAGGCTATAATTAATTTTCTTCAGCCGGCTACTTTTGGTCCAAAAATGTATGAAGCGTGTCCGGTCTCCTTTAAAGACAAAAACGAAGAAAATCTTTAATTTTATTCAGTAACAGAAGTTATACATTATGAATGAAGTTAGTTTACTCTCTAAACTCAAAACTTGAATAGCTAATATGCAATCGTATTTATCTATGTATAGGTAGCGGCTACGTCTATGGTATGGATCAAATATTTTGATAGATCGAAAAGTAATAATCTTTTCGGCTCATTTGGAATCAGACTTACCAGCTTATTATCCTATAAGCTCTATTCTATAACTCACTTGGAATCTGAGTGCCTGCTGAGATGCAGCTTCAAGTACCACAGCAAGCGATTGTTCCTTGGCACGAAGAGGCTCACCGCCAGCGCCAGAAGTTGCCAGCCTTGCACGAAGCTGTACGTGGGCGGGTTGCTTTTGCAGTCCACAGATAGGAGCGGAGCCTGGAATTGTCCGGAGTCGTCGAATAATTGGAAAAAGAAACTAGATTATAAAGACTACAAAAGGCTATAAAAATGTTATGTAATTTTAAAGACATACGATTGTCAATGCGATAACCGACAACTTTGAATTCTATTATCTCACAATATTGTAAACTGTTTTGGATGTAAAGACCGACACAAAATGTATGGTGACACAAAAATATCAGAACGGACAGGTTAGTTTTAAATCGCACTAACTTACATTCAAAAAACCATTGAATAGGATAAGATAATGTACCTATATAGCTCAATAGTTTTTCTTAATTAATGCACATATATTATAATGATACCTACACAGACAGAAATCCGAACACCATATAAATTGTGTCGTATTTAGTTACTATCTTGGATACATAAAAGTAAATACAAAGATCGGGACAAACGAACTGTTTCAAAACTGATGAAACTTACAATACCTTTACACATTTCTCATATGTTCTGTTATATTAGTTGCCTACAGCTAAAATGTGTGTCTACATCGTCTATCATTAGAATAAGGACATTACAGTTCTTTATAGAATTTTTTATCGATACAATTTTGATCTCTTGGCCTCTATGGTAAATTAATTTAAAATAAGGCTTCGATAGCATAATATTGACACAAACCTAGTCCGAATCAAAATTCTATCGAAATATTTTGTGGCTTTATCAAGTGAAATACACATAAGGAATACTTTTATTGTAGAAACTAAACAATTTTTTTAGTAATCAAAAATGCTGCACCAAAAATAACTAACATTTGTGCATGGACAACTTGTTAAGGTATTTAAAGATATAATTTTATTTATTTACATGTCTTTTATAATTATAAAAGTGGTATCTTGGAACTCGTTCCTTTAAAATATAAATTATTACAAATAAACTAAATACATAATAACAATTTTAAGTTACCTTAATACAGCCTATTTCTGCCTTAAACAAAACTAAGACATCCATCGACAATCCGCAGCGATTTGAATTTTCTGTTTTGTAGAATTCATTAGATTTTTAAGAATTCTTCATTATAATTACTGTTGTTGATGATGATGATGTTGATTAAGGAGAATGATATGAACTCTATGAAGAGGACTATAATATGAACTCAATCACACCTGATGGTAAGTAGTGATGAGGGTTAAGATAAAGCTTACTTTGTAAATATCAATTCAAAAGACATCCAGCAAGGCTAGGATGCGCTACGTCATAATCTTATCGAAGCATTTTACCGATTTCAGACCTTTAACTTACACATTTGCCGTCTAAAATCGATACAGAACCACGATAAGATTTTCGTCAGCTCCTCAAAGCGCGATTAATCGCATATTTGCTGCGGATTGTCTTAAACATTACCTGTATCGAGCTAGGCGAGCCCGCGGCGTTAGGTTGTACGTCCCCGCTCTTGTTATCGCTGCCCACCGACGAGGCACCCGTGTCGCAAGTGAACAGCGACTGAGTCGCGCACAGTAGCAGTTGCTGGACAAATGAAATGTTGGTGTTCGTCGGACCGTATACGGGGGGCTTTATTTCTAATAACTGTGTGGGGATTTACTGTGTGGGGTTCGAAAGTGGACTTCAATTTCTTGGTCATAAGATATAGTAAAAAATCTGATTGGGTTGAGTTGACTGTGAGGCTTATAGCTGTGTGGGAGGTTAGCTTTTACTTCTGTTAATACTTGAGTGGGAGGAAAGTGAACTTTAAAATGTTGCTCATAAGATCTGATAATTTACTCTTTTGGTGACAATTAAGGGAGAATTTAATAATTTGGGATTAAAAGTCACAGGGATACTTTCCAACAAGCTGTAGATAAAATTCAGAAAATTTTAATTAAATTTAACCAGCATCAGAAAAAGTAGGTGTATTTTGTGCCTTTTTTATAACGTGTATAAAAGAGTAAATAGGAAATCGTGTCTTTACATTCTGATCGTAGTAGATCAAAGTCGGACTTGATGGTGATAAAATGAATAAGTTGAAATTTGTACATTTTAAAAACCATTTACCACCTGATATGACTAGCATTTTTATTATGTACAAAATTATTCTGGTTCTTTGACCGCTAATAGGCAATAGCATTTATGATTCCCAGCTTATTTTTAATCCCTTGTAAATACTGAAGAAATAGATACATTAGCCCCGCTTAAATAGTTTAAGACTCATTTAATTTTGAAGAACAAAAGACACAATCGTAGTTCATACTATTTTGCTATACACATCCGCTGATCTATATTTTGTTAGTGCACGTGCGATTGCATATGTGTGTGTAGATTATATCCCAGCCGTGGAAAGAACCCTGAAAGACATCCCTGAAGGTATATACAGTATCTGTAGTGCAGTGTAGGTAATAGGTATCCTTAACATTTACAAGTAGTACAACTGCATAATAATTCCAGCATTCAAGTGAGTACTCAAATATGTTTGTATTAGACACGTCTTAGAGTAGGCGCACACCGTTGATTTTTAGTTGGCCGATAGTTGTGCCCGATTTTAAATTGTATGACGAATCGGCCAAATCGAATCGGTGTAGTGGGCGCACTCCCATACATGCCCATACTGATCAACTGCCCGACTAAACTATCGGCCGACGAAAAATCAACGGTGTGCGCCTACTCTTATAGATGGTATTCCATTGCAATGATTTATGTAGGGGAGAGTTCGGTATATTGTACCGCCGGGTAAATTGTACCACCCTCATATTTCGTAAAGCATTTATTTAATGTCTGTAATTGCAACACTCAGCGATACACAACTAAATTCAATTAATATCGGCCATGTGGTTTTAGCCGTGACAACGAACACGAGTGTTTTATTTTGAAAAGTATTATTTTATTGTTTTTAAGTAACTTTTGACAATGCATGTTTAGTTTGTAATTTTGTTAAATTTAATCACATGCTGTTTCTAATATATTATTTAGAAGCGTAAATTAGTGTGGATTACGATTATTTGAAACATTTTTCGGTATTTATAAGCTATATTTTTTACCGATTTTTTAAAAGCACTATCACCTAGTCGGCTAAATTGTACCACATCAAGTTGTATGGAACTTTACCAAAGCATTTTGAAATTTTTTTTAGTAAATCATATTTTGAAGTTATAATAGCGTAGTTATGTTTGACTAACAATAAATGAAAGCAAAAGACTTTTAAAGTAGATTAGGTACAAGTGTGCGTTACGATAATTGGAATTACAAAACTTTTACTCAAAATCGTGATAACGTGTAAAACAATATCGATTGTCTATGTTATTAACTACTGTTCCTTTTTGTTACCTAATTTGTTAAGAATGTATCGTATAATATTTTGCCATAGTTTTTTATATGCTTGAAATTTATTGAAATCCAATTTAGTAACCCTGTGGTACAAATTATCGAACCGGTTGGCTAAATTGGACCGAAGCTCTGAACTCGTATTTTGTTGATTTGTGCTAAATATACAACAATTGTGTTGATTAATACCTATGAAATAGTAAGTTGAATAATTTCCCTTTAATTATATATCATGAACATTAGCAAAAACAAAAGAAAACTATGTGTAAAATGGGATTGAAAAAAACTGGTCCAAATTACCGGACTCTCCCTTATAAAACAAAATTTATGTAATAATTTCTTGCAACTGAAATTAATCGTTTGTCTCATAGTGGTCATCAGAAAGAAATTATGATTTTATGTTCTAGATAAAAAATGTTAGAGAAGAGAAAATAGACATGCTATATAAGATTTATTCTTGAAGGCCTTTGCTTTGGTTGAAAAAGAAGCCATATAGGTAGGTACGATTTTTGAAGGGAAGTCAATATAAATGTACAGCTCCATCGAATACATTGACAATGATACGTCTTTGCAAAGCCGATGATTGTTTAAAATAAGTTCATGAAAATCACCACAAAAAAGCTTTTGCCATAGTTCAGTATAAGAAAATTCACCAAAGTATGGTTGAAGGTAAAGCGGAGCGTATACATATAAGCTTTGACACAATATTTACACACGGACACACATATTTATAGTTAAAATGTAGTCACGTTTATGAATTTCGAATGATATTGATGTACACTGACGATGCTTTATCACTTGCTTATGTATTATGCAGTTATACCACAACTTAACCTATTTACACCTACATACTCACCTTTAAATATCTTATAAGTATTGATTAAATATGGGTAAACAGACTAAAACTTGCAACATCAACCTTTCATAACAAAGGAGTTTAAGTGCGTAGGAAACACTAGCTATGATAGAGTATGGATGATATATAACAACAAAAAGATCATTCCCTAAAACTATAGGACATGGGTCAGACATTCTTGGAAGAAAACTTCGGAAAAAACTAAAAATCGGGGAAAATTTACACCAACATTCCATTTGATATAGATTGCAACTAAGCAAACTGTTTTTTTCGCTATGGCAACATTTATTTTCGACTACACGAAATTACAACTAAATAATATGTAATTCTAGTTGTAGTAAACATCTTATTACTTATAAAGGTGGATACATAACAGTTTTACACTGGTCAGTACACTAAAAAATGTATAATGTCCAGTATTTTGCCATTAATTAAAATTGCTGTATAAAACAGTGATTAAAAAAGTGTGCAGTTCTGTAAACACCTTTAACTATTTTATGTTGCCATAACTAGGAGATCAAGTTGGAATACAACTCTTTCTTTCCCAAACATTACATAATTTTGTATTATAACAATCCAATGAGTATAACAATTTTAATTTTGCGATTAAATAAAGCCAACTTTTCACATACACAATTCCAAATTGATCAACACGACACTTTAAGCATTTATCTTTACTTCAATAGCCACACATAAAGCTAGTACTCAGTAATTTATGGTTTGTTAGTGTATATTTACAGTTTATAAACGCAAAGTAATATTAGATATGGAAGCTATTTTACTATTCACATTAACTCGGGGCGTGTTCGGGTCTTTCCATGAAAAATCAATTAAACAAGTCCATGTAACGACCCGCGTACGCCCCGTAGCAATATGAACATACCTTTATAGGTAAACTAATACCCAGTGTACACTATTGCCAAGAAAAATGGTCTGTATAGCCAAAGATTTTATATTTAATCATGTTATATTTTTATACAGTCAATTTTCTTTGCAATAGTATTGTGTCTGCTTATCTTTACATAGTAACTTACAATCGTCATTTATTTCTCGTTATAATAAAAAAAATAACGACTGTAAGTTACTTCGGAGTATTTATACTAAAACCATATTTTTATAATGCCCACTCTACACTATGTGCTATGCAGAAAGTAGAAACCTTGTGAACGATGGATACAGGGTGTTAGGTAAATGGTTATATGAGCCGACACTAGCCCATGTTAACATGGTCATATAAATGGTATGGTGAAGTCAGAAATTTGATATCATCATTTTATTTTTTTTAATTTTCATACAAAATAAATACGATATAAAATACGATTTGTATGAAAATTAAAATAATTAAAATGATGATATCAATTTTCTGACTTCACCATACCATTTATATGACCATGTTAACATGGACTAGTGTCGGCTCATATACCCATTTACCTAACACCCTGTATAGTACCGACATATGAGAAAAGCGTAGAAGCGTATCGCTTAGCTGAAGCTTTTGCGAAATGAAGCGTTTTGTTGTAATTATACCATGATACATACCGGAGTTACCGTTAAACCACTATAAAACACTAAATTGTTATTAAATACGATGAAAATATTTACTAAATTATACTTTAAGGAATCCTAATTGACTTTTAAAATTTACTAATGTCACACACCAATTAATTGAATCGATATTTTATGTTATTTTAAAACATCCACCGGACTTTTTAAATAAGGACAGTGTGTAACTAGTTTTAATTTTTTATAAAGATCGGTACATTAAAAGACTCCTTTTGGGCATTTTTATTGGATTAGTAGGCATTGGGACAACTGAATGAGATAAAAAACTTATTTGTTTACTGGAAATCAATACCAAAGGCTATTTTTGAATCTAGAAGTTAGTTATTGGTGTTTGTCTACAATGATTTTAGAAACACCAAAAGCCATGCTACATTTTATTCGATAGTAAGAACAATTTCTATATTGAATAGAAAATGTTCAAGGGACGGACAGCAAATAAAAACATAAATCTTTGGTTCAATCCTGGTTCTCGAATGTTTAGTTAATTTATGATCTAAAATACTTTACTGTTATTTTCAAAATTATAGTAGGTAGGTATTTACTATTTATATTTTTAAGAGAACCAAGAATCAACCAAATAACAGCTATAGAAATGGAAGTGGCGGTTGATGCATACTTTTTATAAATACAGGAGAAATCAAAAAGTATAACTCTTTAATAAACTGATCTGAGACACCTTAATAAAACACACAAACAGCAAACATTAGAATGCTTCCAATTGGATGCTAAAATGTTTCTACTGTGTTTTAATCTGGTCTTCATATTTTTATGTTATAACTATAAAAGATACAAGATGCAATAGCATTCAATTAGTATCTAAAGCAAACAGCAAAGTTTATGTATTTACGATTATTGAAATTGTCTACTGCCTACTCATTACTTTAGATTTTATTTCTTCACTAGTTTTCCGCCCGCGGCTTCCCTGCGTGGAATTTTGTCTGTCACAGAAAAACTTTATCGCACGCGTCCCTGTTTCAAAAACCGAGATAAAAACTATCCTATGTCCTTTTCCGGGAATCAAACTATCTCTATGCCAAATTTTATCAAAATCGGTTCAGTGGTTTTGGCGTGAAAGAGAGACAGACAGACAGACAGAGTTACTTACGCATTTATAATATCTAAATATATAAAAGGAGAAACTGACTGACTGACTGACATATTAACGCACAGCCTAAACGGCTAAACGTAGGCACTTGAAATTTGGAAGGGACGTAGCTTAGGTACCGTAGAGGTGCACTAAGAAAGGAATTCCCGAAATTTCCACGGGAACGGGAATTAGCGTGAAAATCCTTTTGTATGAAAAATCTAAACCGCTTAAGTTAGACGCTTGAAATTTGGCATGAATGTACCTTAGTAAACTTAAAGCTTAGTTACAACAGGATATTGCAAAATTCCTACGGGAACGGGAGTTAGCGGGAAAAAACATTTGTATGAAAAAATCTAAACCGCGTAAGATAGATGAAGACGGGTAAAACGGGACCCACGCGTACGAAGTCGCGGGCGGCTGCTAGTTAGTATAATATAAATTTTGACATTAGGATGTGATGTTTTTATCGTCGTCGATCCTTGCTCACGATAGGAAGACGACAGGTCGTTTAATCTCGACACTACAGGAGAACGGTTTACCACAGGCAAATGAGAGATTTGGCCTGTAAGATTGTGTGTTATGCAATAAATAACACCTATCTTACTATGCGCCGTTTCGAGCACCCACTTTTGTCTTCTGACTGTTTGTGCACTATCTATCTTTTAACAAAAAATATACTTAACAACAACACCATCAACCGCCACCCCCACACAAACAAACTGAAACCCAACTTACATTCTTAAGCTTGGCGGCCTTAACGTTTATGTTACGTCGCGCAGTCGCGGGCGTTACCTGCACGCCGTGTTTGGTGTGCGTGTGAGGCGTGGTCTGACGGGCCAACGCTGACGCCAGCTCGTCTTGGAGCTCCGCTACTTCCAGGCATTGCTGTAACGCGTTCTGAGCGAGCACCACGTGGTAGTCGATGCCTGCGTGCTCAACGGCTACCGACATGAAGAGTTGGACGCACTGGAATGGCAAAAAGAACCCTTATAGTCAGTGCGAAAATGAAGCAACGCCATCTAAATGATCTTAAGACACTTGTGCAGAGCTCTACTACTTTATGACCAACGAAGCTCTGGATGACATTAAAGCGCCATCTATTAAAATGGAGCGTAAACATGCGTGGTCTGTCAGGCCAGTTAAAAAATCTGTTATTACTGTGCCAGCCCAAGATAATGTCACATGTTCAGGATCTATCGAGACACGAAAACCTGTCTTTTTACGATATCTTGTACAGTTTAGAAATAATCGAGTGAGATCACTTATCGTTTCCACCCTGTATATTCCTTCCGACATCACTCCTTTCCCTCTATTTCAAATTTTCAACCTTACGTGACAACAGTTAATCTTAACCTACCTTAAATAGTTTTAATGCTTCCGCCTGCAGCGCCTCGGAGTTGAGTGACGTCAGAGGGGATGTGATGTTCTCCTTTGAATACAGCAGCGTTGGATGCCGCCATAGCACACAATCTGTAATAATAAAAACGATTGTTTAGTTTTATCACTTCACTACCGACCTATCTTTTGATATGAATATAAAAAGCTAATAATAAAATTAAGCACAATGCATTAAACAAGTACTGTGTGTGACACAGTATTAGATAAATAAATTTTAAGTTAGACAGTTTGTTGAAGCCAAACTAAAACCCACGTAAAACGGAACGCAGTGACTTCACTCAGCGGCGCTCTTATTGGCTACTTAAAAGAACGTATTGCTGTCAAAATTTGAATTTTATGCATATCACTATGTTTTTGGTCCTTTGGACCTGTAACAAAGTCTGTTGCATAGTCTTTTTTATTATACAAAGAAAAAGAAGACAGTTTTTAGTTAGGTGGACCGTTACGATCTAAACAACAGTTTATAAAGACAGTAAATGACGAAGTCAAACTTATACATAATGAATTCAAGGAGCGTACTAGAATGCAGCGTACCATCGGTTTTTTCGCTTAATAAATGAGAAAGTCAAATAAAATATGTATTTGTTAAGATGCTAAAAGTTCACTTACTGGGATCGCCATCCGTCTCCATCAGCTTCTGAACCAGCTGTTCGAAGTGCGTGCCCTGGCTCAATCCGCCTCCGCTAACCACGGTCAAATGGTATAACCAGGAGTCCTTGTCTGCTTTGCTTTCGAATAATAGGTACGTTGGACCCTGCAACAAGATGGGGGGCGAATGAGGCTATTATGTGGTGGGGCATTGTGTGTTAAAGTAGGTAGGGCGTGCTTGGATTTGTTTTGGAACGATTTTTGTGTAAAACACCAAGTGCCAGAACTATTACTGTTTTCTTGGAAACATGCTTTAAAAAATAGAATATCACATCTCTACATTTAAAATATCACACTGTAATATTAAGAGGAAAGGAAGCTTTGTGGCTCTTTGTAGGCTTTCTACTGGTTTCTAATATTTCTTCTACGACTTCGACATGTTTATTAATCACAGTTACCAGGTGCTACATATTTATAACAACAATGTTAACAGCATTGTTGTGCTCCGGCAGTTAGAGGTAAGATATCCAGTTCCTCCGTGGTTGAGGATATCGGATTAAGCTCGCTTCCACCTTAGGCCGGATAACCACTTACCATCAGGTGAGATACAGGCCAAGAGCTTCCTCGTTGGGGATAAAAAAAAACTATGAGATTCTCACGAGTGTCTTCACACTTAGAAGGGATATAGTCATCATGCCTACTGGTTTCTACATTCACAACTATAAAACTACCACGCATCGTTCGTTTCAGACAAATGACGTCCACTGCTGGACAAAGGCCTTCCCCAAGGTTTTCCACAATGAACGGTCCTGCGCTGCCCGCATCCAGGCTTTTCCCGCGACCTTTACCAGATCGTCGGTCCACCTAGTAGAAGGCCTGCCCACGCTACGTCTTCCAGCCCGTGGTCGCCACTCGAGAACTTTCCTGCCCCAACGGCCATCGTCTCTACGAGCTATGTGCCCCGCCCACTGCCACTTGATTTTAGCAATTCTGCGAGCTATGTCGGTTACTTTGGTTCTCCTGCGGATCTCCTCATTTCTGATTCGATCACGCAGGGAAACTCCGAGCATAGCCCGCTCCATCGCCCTTTGGGTGACCTTGAGCCTTCTTATGAGGCCCATATACCACGCATATTATGACGTATTTACTGACCGCAGTCATCTCGTGCTGCGGATAAATACCCGCGGTGAGGTGGTTGCGCGTGTCGTCGTTCTTATTATAATAGTAGATAATTCGTGCTATTAAAAAGGTCTTGTTCTAATAACCGTACAATAATATACGGAATAGTCAACATGCCTAGTGTTCTACTTTTACAATCACAACTACCACGCATAATATATGGTTTATTCACTGACCGCAGTTACCTGGTGCTGCGGGTAGATAGCCACAGTAAGGTGGTTGCGCGTGTCGTCGTTCTTCTCTTCCGAGTCCGAGTCTGAAACATGTTCTACGTCTTCCACTCGCGCGTCACGCATGTTGATTTGGCCGGTTGGGTTCTGGAAACAAAAGAAGTGTTACTAATAAGTCATTTGAGTACTTATGTTGTTATGACTTACAAAACTTTTTTGTGAAAGAGTAAAAATCTTACTTGTAAACTACATAGCGGGCGCCAAGCCAGTGTCGTCTATCCCTAGTAACGAAATAATAAAGAAAGAAATATCCCTAGTATTTTATTACGACACTCTGGCTTACGGTCCGCGATATGTTTCTAAAGCAGAAAGCTCTGATGAGCATGATCGCTGAATATAACATTACATAAACAAATCACTGGCCTGTATCACCAAGATATCGAAGTTTCGTGGAGCTAAAGTAATTTTTTCGTACGCTCACTTTGTGTCGGCATCGCAAGGCAGTGTCTCACTCTTAGCTTTCGATATCAGCGGAAGAGACAATCAAGTTTAAGGTAGCACCATCTAGCATAACTGTGGACACTATCTACATCGTGGACAGATTCTACGATCCAGTATAAGCGCTTGGAAGTGCTTGTAAGTAAAATGGTGATCGCTAAGCGGTAAGCGCAGTCACTGCAAAAAAATGAATGAAACACGCCACTATTAAAGTTAGCAAAAGTATCCTCGCCGAAAACTGCCGTAGTGTTCTCCGTTTTGCTTACAAGCTCTTCTAAACGCTTTTTTCCACCAAACGCCCCCAATAACAAGTTAGCATCTCTTACCTGGTCACCCGGCGACTTGAAGTACAGGAACATCTTGCCGATGAGCACGCACCAGCTCTTCTTGGCGTGGCCGTTCTTGACCTTCGTGAGCCAGCCCTGAATGGTGGGCTTGTTGTCCTCCTTGCTGAGAAGCAGTTTGGTCGCGTTCCGCCTTTGGACATTCTGAAAAAAATGGGAAAAAATAAGTTTGTGTGTTCATTATGCCATTAAGTAGCAGACTAAGTTTGGTCGCGTTCCGCTTTTGAACGTTATGGAAAAAAATGTGGTGTGTTCATTACGCCATATTATTATGAAGAACAAAACAAAAGAAGAAAATATTGATTCAATTTCATAGAGTACTAGCTGTACCCGAGACTTCGTACGCGTAAAAACCCGTTTTCGCAACATTTTTCATTTTTGCTCTCTCACCTATTACTCGCAGTGTGATGGTATATAGCCTATAGCTTTCCTCAATAAATGGGCTTTCTAACACTGAAAGAATTTTTGAAATCGGACCGGTAGTTTCTGAGATTAGCGCGTTCAAGTAAACAAACAAACAAACTCTTCAGCTTTATAATATTAAGTATAGATTAACGAATTAATCAAGTTCCAAGAAAGGTCAACTCACTTGTAGCACCCTGATCCAATCCTCCATAGTTGCGATACTATCAGCAGTCAGGTAGTAGGTCCGACTCCCTGTGAAGATCTCAAAGGTAGCCGCGCCTTCGTTCCGGGAGATCTTGCAAGCCTCGCCGAGCCCTATCTGACCTTGCGGCTTCCTGTTGACTTCTGATTGAGACTTCCAGTAAGATAGCGTGCCGTTTTTGAGGACAAACCTGTGAAAGGTATGATTTTATTGGAGTATTTATTTTATTTCATTTAGGTTTTACACAAAGGAGTGTCAAAATTCTGAAACCGTCAAAATTTAGTTTTTTAGAATTGTCACTCATATGGATCAATGTAGACCTTTTATTGGGGGATTTTCACTCTCAAAATCTGTAGTTATCTGCTAACATTTAAAGATGACGCCATAACGGAATACACGAAATAAAAGCTCGGGGAAAATGAATTGATTTTCAAAGAAGAAGTTATATTCTTTCCCTTCAAAACACTCTGTAGACTAGTGTAGTATTAGCACGTCAAATAAAGGGTTTCATCTTGGTTGGCCCTTTTTTGGCTTATTTGACTACGCTGATGTCAACTCACCATCTCTTCCGCCAAGTTTTCAGCTTCCCGCCAAGCTTGGCAAGATGGCCGCTCTTCTCCAACGCATCATGGCGTCTTGGCGAGTCAGTGGCAGGTGGGGCCCGGCATAACGACGCCAGCGATGGTGACGCCATACTGTCGCACGACACTGCATAGTCATCCGACCCATATAGCCTAGGTAACACTTACCATCTCTTCCGCCAAGTCTTCAGCTTCCCGCCAAGCTTGGCAAGATGGCCGCTCTTCTCCAACGCGTCGTGTCGTCTTGGCGAGTCAGTGGCGGGCGGCGCGCGGCATAACGACGCAAGCGATGGCGACGCCATACTGTCGCACGACACTGCATAGTCATCCGACCCGTATAGCCTAGGTAACACTTACCATCTCTTCCGCCAAGTCTTCAGCTTCCCGCCAAGCTTGGCAAGATGGCCGCTCTTTTCTAACGCATCATGTCGTCTTGGCGAGTCAGTGGCAGGTGGGGCCCGGCATAACGATGCCAGAGATGGTGACGCCATACTGTCGCATGACTAGTATAGCCTAGGTTACACTTACCATCTCTTCCGCCAAGTCTTCAGCTTCCCGCCAAGCTTGGCAAGATGGCCGCTCTTCTCCAACGCGTCGTGGCGTCTTGGCGAGTCAGTAGCGGGCGGCGCCCGGCATAATGACGTTAGACATGGTGACGCCATACTGTCGCACGACTAGCATAACCTAGGTAATACTTACCATCTCTTCCGCCAAGTCTTCAGCTTCCCGCCAAGCTTGGCAAGATGGCCGCTCTTCTCCAACGCATCGTGTCGTCTTGGCGAGTCAGTGGCGGGTGGCGCGGTGACGTCATACTGTCGCACGACTAGTCTAGTCTAGGTAACACTTACCATCTCTTCCGCCAAGTCTTCAGCTTCCCGCCAAGCTTGGCAAGATGGCCGCTCTTCTCCAACGCGTCGTGTCGTCTTGGCGAGTCAGTGGCAGGTGGGGCCCGGCATAACGATGCCAGAGATGGTGACGCCATACTGTCGCACGAGACTGCGTCAGGTGGGATGGCATAGTCGTCTGACATGCCGGACTCGAATGATGTGTCTGGGGAAGAAATATGATGATGAGCACCTGATATTATGATGAAGACGTAAGGGAATGCCAATTGGGTATGAATTTAGTAGTGTTATCAAGGTTTAGGTTCCAATGTCATTTTGTATTTTAATTTGATCGTAATTTTTGGTTACGTGACCTTTAAAAATATTGTATTTTTTCATTATTCTAGGTAGTTTAAATTTTTTACATTACATACAGTTTTAAATTTAAGAAATTGTACTCGTATCTGGCATTTGGTAGGGTTAAAGGGGGGGAACTAAAATCAATTTCTTCTATTTACTCGAGTTTAATCTAGGAGGGGGAGGAATTCTATTGTGACACTTTTGAAGAATCGTTTGCAACTGTAAGGTCAATGTACTAAACTCTAGTTTTGCTCTGTTTACTCGGCGATCCACTGCTAGACCTCTTAGCCGGATTTAAACTGGAGCTTGTTTTGACGCTTTTCGACGGACTGCTCGCACTCAAACTGGTGTCAGACGAACTGCACTGGCCGTTAGCACTGTTGGTCAGTACTAGAGAATGGCTGGAAGCCTGCTGTATAGAGAATATATACAAAAATAACACTTACCTCTAGTTTTGCTTTGTTTACTCGGCGATCCACTGCTAGACCTTTTCGCTGGACTCAAACTAGAGCTGGTTTTGACGCTTTTCGACGGACTGCTCGCACTCAAACTGGTGTCCGACGAACTGCACTGGCCGTTAGCACTGTTGGTCAGTACTAGAGTATGGCTGGAAGCCTGCTGTATAGAGAATATATACAAAAATGACACTTACCTCTAGTTTTGCTCTGTTTACTCGGCGATCCACTGCTAGACCTCTTAGCCGGACTTAAACTGGAGCTTGTTTTGACGCTTTTCGACGGACTGCTCGCACTCAAACTGGTGTCAGACGAACTACACTGTCCGTTAGCACTGTTGGTCAGTACTAGAGGATGGCTGGAGGTTTGTTGTATGGAGTAAATATACAAAAATGACACTTACCTCTAGTTTTGCTTTGTTTACTTGGCGATCCACTGCTAGACCTTTTCGCTGGACTCAAACTGGAACTTGTTTTGACGCTTTTCGACGGACTGCTCGCACTCAAACTGGTGTCAGACGAACTGCACTGTCCGTTAGCACTGTTGGTCAGTACTAGAGGATGGCTCGACGTTTGTTGTATGGAGGCTGGCAGTACGCTTGTGAGATTCACGTTGTTGATAGGCATGTTCATTTGGCTTGATGTTTGTGCACCTGGGGTGATGTTAGTTGTTAGTTACATGAGTAAAACACGGTTACTGATTCGGACAGTATTAAATGTTCGATTATTTAATATAGAATTGAGGTAAGTGAAAGATAATACAACGACCGATACTGTCTTAGATATCAGTGTACCTACCATGAGTTTACGTTAGGTGTGCTCGCTAGCGAGTACGTCAAGAATCTCTATGAAGATTTTGTTTCTTGAAAGTAGCCGCTAGGGGCGCTGCACAATATGTCATACAATTAATGTCATTTTTTTACGCAGTCGCTAGCGAGCACACCTAACGTAAACTCATGGTAAGCACACAGATAATAATGATGAAGTAAAAAATGTCCTCTTTGCTAACAAATATTTTAAGACTTATGGATGCTTAAGCAAGTGGCATCACTTGCTTGCGTGGCAAGACGCATGTCTTGGCCACATTAATTCTCAGTCTTTAGTAGAAGGTTTTATATAAATTGAAGGCCATTTTTTGTTAAATTGGTGAGTTAGCAGTGAATTTTTTACATCAAACGACATCACATAATTATTTATTTGACCAAAAACATTCGAAAACAAATACAAACAACGAATTAATATAGTTACATAATACAGTAAACTTACCAAATTGATGGTGTGGCGTGTTATGTACAGTGACGCCCATTGACTCTTCGCCATCCGACGAATCGTCTGATGAATCGCCCGTGAAGGGCATTGACCTTATCTGACTAGCGCGCTGGAACAAAAACAGTATTTTAATCCAAAGTATCAATATGTATAATTGGGTCTTTAGTCATATTCATCTTTACCATAGTACTATTGATAGTACATTACTGTATGTTGCCTTAAATAAATAAAAAATAAATACTGGTAATACCTGATGGGTTTGTGGTTAGTATAATAAGACCAATTCAACTCTTGCCATTCATGTCATAAAAGTCGGCTTAAAGGGGAAAATATGTGAATATCAGACTTCTCGAACCCGCCTTAGCAAGAGTTGGGAGTGCAAACAAGGTTGCCACTCGTAAATGGCAATGCCAGATTTTGTATGGAAAGTGGCGTCTTTTTTTTTCGCGCGGCCATCGACCAAACTTTGTTTTTTGATTACAAAATAGTGTAATAAACCAAACTTACTATGGCATGTATACCTCTAAACTCAGTCTGAACTGAGTTACGAGCATTAGAAGTTTGATGATTTTCATACATGATTTGCTTTTTGTGCGCAAGTTTTGTAAGAAATTGCAACAAAATATTGCGCTATTTTTTATTGCGCTGATTCTGCTCCACACTGATGTCTGGAGCCTTTAATGGATGGTATTGTTTGTTTACACATACAATCTCACTATTTTGTTGCAATTTCTTACAAAACTGCGCGCAAAAAGCAAATCTAGTATGAAAATCATCAAACTTCTAATGCTCGTAACTCAGTTCAGACTGAGTTTAGAGGTATACATGTCGTAGTAAGTTTGATTTATTACACTATTTTGTAATCAAAAAACAAAGTTTGGTCGATGGCCGCGCGAAAAAAAAAAGACGCCAATTTCCGGCATTGTCTTTACAGAGGGTCTTCCTGCTTCTCCAGTGTAGACAAAATTTTAATGATCTAATGATGTTGATAAAAAGTTCAAACTACAGCAATAGTTTAGCCACTACCAGAAAGAGTTAAGTTACCCCTTTGACGGTTGAAATGGAATGGATATGCCCTGGTAGCAGTGGACTCAAATGATGATGTGGAAAGATTTATATTTCAGAACGTATTTAAAACTTTATTCCATGTACATAAAGCTCCAAATACAGTGGCATCAGTTTAATTATAGGTCGCACAGCAAGAGTTGAGGCGATCAACACATGCAAAGATTTGTATTTGTATACGCCTCGCACTGATATCTTGCGTGTTCTGACTGGGTAGTATGTTCCCAAAGCATCCAAGCATGTTCGGTCACGCAGGGAAACTCCGAGCATAGCACGCTCCATCGCCCTTTGGGTGACCTTGAGCCTTCTTATGAGGCCCATAGTAAGCGACCACGTCTCAGATCCGTATACCATCAAGTAGGGTAGTATGTATTCGCCTCAAATATCGTTGAGCGACCTATATCATGAATAGTATCAACTTACCCCTTTAACAGTGGCGTATACAGGGACGGATATGTCCTGGTAGCTGGTAGACTCGTGCATGGGCCGCGGGCACGGCGGCGGGCTTAATTCGCCCTCCACCGATTGTTGGAGGCCGTCGTCTGCCACCTGGGGACAAATTAAAGGAACATTTATAAATTTGGACATCACAACGGTATTGATGACAAAAAAAAAAACAATAGCTAGCAAGATTGCATTTTTATCAAGTAAAAAGAGTAGTTTCTTAACTGTCGAGTTCTCGACATTTCACGTGGGTTTTGTTTCTAGTGACTATTGAAGATCCTGTGGCCTTACTTGGTCCTATTCTGGTCTCCTAGAGGAGTGAGTAGTTTTTGAAGAGCGCTGTTCTTAGGTTACGATAATCACTAGACTAATCCTGTGTCTTAAATCTTAATACACCTGGTATATCTTGGCCTTCCAGCTGGAGAATGTGTACAACGGCAACGTGGGGAGTGAGCAAGTTTACACCTTATCACAAAGAAGAAAGAGCAACTATTTCTTTAGTGATTTCTTCTGTTGCTGAAAACAATTGACGATCCTGCAGCGTTGGTGCATGCGGCGGCGTTTTGAGCGAGCAAGTTTGCCCTTTATTGCCAAGCAGAAAAAGCACCTATTCCTTAAGTGACTTCTGTTGCTAAAAACAATTGACGATCCTGCGGCGTTGTTTGGAGCACGCGGCGGCGTTTTGAACGAGCAAGATTACACTTTATTGCCAAGGAAAAAGAACACCTATTCTGGTTAGTGACTTCTTCAGATGGTAGAAACAATTGACGATCCTGCGGCGTTGGTTGGCCGTTGGAGCATGCGGCAGCATTTTGCGTGGGCGATTTTGCTCTTTATTGTCAAGGATAAAGGGCACCTATTCGCTTTCTGTTGTCGGCTGTAGCATCGTACCTGGTAGATCTTGGCCTCCCAGCTGGGGAAGCGGTGCAGCGGCGGCGTGGGCGGGCGCGGCTGCTCGGAGGCCGAGCTGTCCCCGGTGGAGGAGCCTCCTCGACTGTTGCCTTGCACCACCATGTTCACCGCCCCTTGCCAGGCTGGCGTGTGCGAGCGAGCGAGTTTGCACTTTATTGCTAAGATGAAAGAGCTGCTATTTGTTTATGTGACTTCTGTTACTAGAAACAATTGACGATCTGATATGTTTTGGTCTCCCAGCTAAAGAATCTATGTAACGGCAATATGGACGGACAAGCAAGTTCGCACTTTATCGCCAAGAAGAAAGAGCCGCTATTTGTTAAGTAACATCTTCAATTACTAGAAACAATTGACGATCCTGTGGCGTTGATTAGAACATACCTGATACATCTTCACCACCCAGCGGGGGAAGCAATTTTGCACCTTATCACCAAGAAGAAAGAGCAGCTATTCCTTAAGTGACTTCTGTAGCTAAAAACAATTGACGATCCTGCTGCGTTGTTTGGAGCACGCGGCGGCGTTTTGAACAAACAAGGTTACACTTTATTACCAAGAAGAAAGAGCAACTATTCCATAAGCGATATCATCGGTTGCTAGAAACAATTGACGATCCTGTGGAGTTGGTTGATGGAGCTTGCGGCGGCATTTTGAGCGGGCGATTTTGCCCTTTATTACCAAGGAAAAAGAGCAACTATTTCTTTTGTTTCTTCTGTTGCTAGAAACAATTGACGATCCTGCGGCGTAGGTTGGAGTGTGCGGCGGCATTTTGCTCTTTATTGTCAAGGATAAAGAGCACATATTCGCTTTCTGTTGACGGCTGTAGCACCGTACCTGGTAGATCTTGGCCTCCCAGCTGGGGAAGCGGTGCAGCGGCGGCGTGGGCGGGCGCGGCTGCTCGGAGGCCGAGCTGTCCCCGGTGGAGGAGCCTCCGCGACTGTTGCCTTGCACCACCACGTTCACCGCCCCTTGCCACGCTGGCGTGTACGAGCGAGCGAGTTTGCACCTTATTGCCAAGCAGAAAGAGCTACTGTTCCTTAAGCGACTTTTTTTATTGCTAGTGACAATTGACGACCTGATACCCAGCAAGCAGAACGAGCAAGTTTGCACTCCATCGGCAAGAAGAAAGAGCCGCTATTTCCTTGAGTGACTTTTGTTGCTAAAAACAATTGCGCAAATCCTGCGGCGTTGATTAGAACATACCTGATACATCTTCACCACCCAGCGGGGGAAGCAATTTTGCACCTTATCACCAAGAAGAAAGAGCAATTATTCCTTAAGTGACTTCTGTAACTAATAACAATTGACGATCCTGCGGCGTTCGTTGAAGCATAGGTAGTAGGTACCTGATATCTTAAGGACCTAGGGGCAGCGTCTAGAGCGAGCAAGTTCGCACTTTATCACCAAGAAGAAAGAGCAGCTATTCCCTAATTGACTTCTGTTGCTAAAAACAATTGACGATCCTACAACGTTTGGTCGGAGCATGTGGAATCGTTTTGAGCGAGCAAGTTTGCACTCTATTGCCAAGTAGAAAGAGCAGCTATTCCTTAAGCGATATCATCGGTTTCTAGAAACAATTGACGATCCTGCGGTGCGGCGTTGGCTGGAGCAGCGGCGTTTTAAACGAGCAAGATTACACTTTATTACCAAGAAGAAAGAGCAACTATTCCATAAGCGATCATCGGTTGCTAGAAACAATTGACGATCCTGCGGTGCGGCGTTGGCTGGAGCATGCAGCGGCGTTTTGAGCGAGCAAGATTACACTTTATTACCAAGAAGAAAGAGCAGCTATTCCTTAAGCGATATCATCGGTTTCTAGAAACAATTGACGATCCTGCGGTGCGGCGTTTGGAGCATGCAGCGGCGTTTTGAACGAGCAAGATTACACTTTATTGCCAAGGAAAAGGAACACCTATTCTGGTTAGTGACTTCTTCAGATGGTAAAAACAATTGACGATCCTGCGGCGTTGGTTGGCCGTTGGAGCATGCGGCAGCATTTTGCGTGGGCGATTTTGCTCTTTATTGTCAAGGATAAAGGGCACCTATTCGCTTTCTGTTGTCGGCTGTAGCATCGTACCTGGTAGATCTTGGCCTCCCAGCTGGGGAAGCGGTGCAGCGGCGGCGTGGGCGGGCGCGGCTGCTCGGAGGCCGAGCTGTCCCCGGTGGAGGAGCCTCCTCGACTGTTGCCTTGCACCACCACGTTCACTGTCTCTTGCCAGGCCGGCGTGTACGAGCGAGCGAGTTTGCACTTTATTGCCAAGCAGAAAGAGCTGCTAGTTTCTCAAGTGCCTTCGTATATTGCTAGTGACAATAAAATTGACGATCTGATATGTTTTAACCTCCCAGCTAAAGAACCTATGCGAACGAGCGAGTTGGCACTTTATTGGCAAGAAGAAAGAGCTGCTATTCCTTAAGTAACATCTTCGGTTCCAAGAAACAATTGACGATCCTAACTCACAGGAGCATACCTGGCATCTTCGCTTCCCAGCGGGGGAAGCCATTTTGCACCTTATCACCAAGAAGAAAGAGCAGCTATTCCCTAATTGACTTCTGTTGCTAAAAACAATTGACGATCCCGCAGCGTTGGTTGATGGAGCATGCGGCAGCATTTTGAGCGAGCAAGTTTGCACTCTATTGCCAAGCAGAAAGAGCAGCTATTATTTAAGTGACTAATGTTACTAGTAACAATTGCAAACCAACGCTGCGGCGTTGGTTGGAGCATGAGGGGGCATTTTGCGTGGACGATTTTGCTCTTTATTTTCAAGCTGAAAGAGCAGATATTCCATAAGCGATGTCATCGGTTGCTAGAAACAATTGACGATCCTGCGGTGCGGCGTTGGCTGGAGCATGCAGCGGCGTTTTGAACGAGCAAGATTACACTTTATTGCCAAGGAAAAAGAACACCTATTCTGGTTAGTGACTTCTTCAGATGGTAGAAACAATTGACGATCCTGCGGCGTTGGTTGGTCGTTGGAGCATGCGGCAGCATTTTGCGTGGGCGATTTTGCTCTTTATTGTCAAGGATAAAGAGCACATATTCGCTTTCTGTTGACGGCTGTAGCACCGTACCTGGTAGATCTTGGCCTCCCAGCTGGGGAAGCGGTGCAGCGGCGCGTGGGCGAGCAATTTTGCACTTTATTGCCAAGAAGACAGAGCAGATATTCCTTGAGTGACTTCTTCGCCTTCTGTTGACGGCTATAGCAGAACCGTACCTGGTAGATCTTGGCCTCCCAGCTGGGGAAGCGGTGCAGCGGCGGCGTGGGCGGGCGCGGCTGCTCGGAGGCCGAGCTGTCCCCGGTGGAGGAGCCTCCGCGACTGTTGCCTTGCACCACCACGTTCACTGCCCCTTGCCGGGCTGGCGTGTACGAGCGAGCGAGTTTGCACCTTATTGCCAAGCCGAAAGAGCTACTGTTCCTTAAGCGACTTCTTGTATTGCTAGTGACAATTGACGACTTGATATACCCATCTAGAGAACCTATGGGCGAACGAGCAAGTTTGCACTTTATCGCCAAAAAAAAGAGCAGCTATTCCTTAAGCGACTTCTTGTATTGCTAGTGACAATTGACGATCTAACATGGTTTGGTCTCCCAGCTAAAGAATCGATGTAGCGGCAACATGGACGGACAAGCAAGTTCGCACTTTATCGGCAAGAAGAAAGAGCTGCTATTCCTTAAGTAACATCTTCGGTTCCAAGAAACAATTGACGATCCCAACTCACAGGAGCATACCTGGCATCTTCGCTTCCCAGCAGGGGAAGCCATTTTGCACCTTATCATCAAGAAGGAAGAGCAGCTATTCCTTAAGTGACTTATGTAGCTAAAAACAATTGACGATCCTGCTGCGTTGTTTGGAGCACGCGGCGGCGTTTTGAACGAACAAGATTACACTTTATTGCCAAGGAAAAAGAACACCTATTCTGGTTAGTGACTTCTTCAGATGGTAGAAACAATTGACGATCTGCGGCATGTGGGGGCATTTTGCGTGGACGATTTATCTCTTTATTGACAAGGTGAAAGAGCACCTATTGGCTTTCTGTTGACGGCTGTAGCACCGTACCTGGTAGATCTTGGCCTCCCAGCTGGGGAAGCGGTGCAGCGGCGGCGTGGGCGGGCGCGGCTGCTCGGAGGCCGAGCTGTCCCCGGTGGAGGAGCCTCCTCGACTGTTGCCTTGCACCACCACGTTCACCGCCCCTTGCCAGGCTGGCGTGTACGAGCGAGCGAGTTTGCACTTTATGGCCAAGCAGAAAGAGCTGCTGTTCCTTAAGCGACTTCTTGTATTGCTAGTGACAATTGACGAACTGATATGTTTTGGCCTCCCTGCTAGAGAATCTATGCAGCAGCAGCATAGAAGGACGAGCAAGTTTGCACTTTATCGCCAAAAAAAAGAGCAGCTATTCCTTAAGCGACTTCTTGTATTGCTAGTGACAATTGACGATCTAACATGGTTTGGTCTCCCTGCTAGAGAATCTATGCAGCAGCAGCATAAAAGGACGAGCAAGTTCGCACTTTATTGCCAAGAAGAAAGAGCAACTATTCCTTAAGTGACTTCTGTAACTATTAACAATTGACGATCCTGCGGCGTTCGTTGAAGCATAGGTAGTAGGTACCTGATATCTTAAGAACCTAGGGGACGCTGCCCTAGAGCGAGCAAGTTCGCACTTTATCGCCAAGAAGAAAGAGCAACTATTCCATAAGCGATCATCGGTTGCTAGAAACAATTGACGATCCTGCGGTGCGGCGTTGGCTGGAGCAGCGCCGTTTTTAACGAGCAAGATTACACTTTATTGCCAAGGAAAAAGAACACCTATTCTGGTTAGTGACTTCTTCAGATGGTAAAAACAATTGACGATCTGCGGCATGTGGGGGCATTTAGCGTGGACGATTTTGCTTTTTATTGTCAAGGATAAAGAGCACATATTCGCTTTCTGTTGACGGCTGTAGCACCGTACCTGGTAGATCTTGGCCTCCCAGCTGGGGAAGCGGTGCAGCGGCGGCGTGGGCGGGCGCGGCTGCTCGGAGGCCGAGCTGTCCCCGGTGGAGGAGCCTCCGCGACTGTTGCCTTGCACCACCACGTTCACTGCCCCTTGCCAGGCTGGCGTTCGTTCTGTGGGTACGGAATAACATAATGATAGAAAGAGTGGTGGGTTTATTCCGTCACTTTTTCTCTCAGCACATGTATGCAGCAGAAGTAATGATAGGCTATATTGGGAGGTGTTTAGGTGCCCTGAAAAGGGCCTACATACTAATAAAAGAATTCGAATGATAAATATGATCTTGACGGTTTAAAATAGAACCACTCCCACTCTTCTGGTGGATGTCATAAAAGGCGACTAACGGCCGAATACTGAAACACTACTCAAATCTGTCACTCAGCTGACGGGCTCCTAAATTTAAGTATCCTTCAATTTTAAATGGTATTCTCAAACGCCACTCAACGGATTTGAAGCCGTGATCAGCTAAGCAGCTCTCAAATGTTTACATAATGGCAACATTTACCAAAAAAAGTATGTTTTCATTTACACAAATGATAACTTTACGTTTTTTATCCATTACACGCAGCATCGTTTGGTTATGTATTGTCTTTTATGGAAATATACTCCATCAACTTAACATAGAACAGTTTATTTTTAGTTTCTATTATATATAAATCTCGTTTTATCATATAAAAAAATTTATGCTTGCATTTTTATTTAATTAAAAAAATGATTTTAAAGGTGATACTTTTTATTGTTGAAATCTATTAAGTGGCGATCGTGGACCGAAACGTAACCTCAATTGACATTTATCATTGTTGACAGAGCATCAAATTGACAAATCAACAACTCTTGCTTGGAACATTGAGTTATAATGTACTACGTACTAGAGAAGACATGTCAACTAGACTGTTTCTGGCACGCAAACAGGTCCATGGACCGAAATTCAATTAGTATGTGCTCAGCGGTTGCTGTGACAACACGCTTGAGTGCAGTTTTGTTTTTTGAAAAATGCCATCCTATAGACCAAAATACTGTTCAAATAATTCCAGATACATATTAAGTGAAAATCAAGGAATGACTTTTTACCATTAAGTTGTACATTTATGCACTTTAAAACACTAATTTAATTTTAATTTGTTAATTACAAGGCGTCACCGCGGCGGCAGCCATTTTACGAAAATTTCAAAGAATAAAAATCGCAGACTTGACACTGACGCATAAATTAGTATACGAAAGGAAGGTTAAATACAGCAATAAAAAGATTTTTTTAAAGATTATAAGCACTTTGTATTGCACAAATTACTAAGATGTGGAAGATATCACCTAGTACACGTTCATAACTTCCCGTTGCGTAGAACAGTAGGGTTATAATAAGTATTTGGTCCACTGGTTGTACGGCGTTTGGTGAGGGGTTTCAAAGAGCTTCCAAATTATGAATCCAGAAACAACACCGTTTCTTTAGAGACGCGGAACCTCGCTCGGAATTGCATGTCATTATAATAATATTTTTCAATAGCGTTCAGCCTTATTGCGTTCCAGCGATTAGATCTAGGTATTTTCTCGAGGCTGGAAAGAAATGATAACGATGACACACATTATTTACCACTATTTAGGTCGATTTAGGTATAAGAATAGGATTTAAGATACCGCGCAAGCACTCTCAAATTTAACAGCTGCTTAAGACGATTTGACAGTTGTTTGAGTAATGCTTAGCGTTGAATGGCGTTTCAGTATGCGAAAATTCATTTAAGTGGCGTTTGAGTGCAACTTAATTTGAGAGATGCTTATAAATTGAGAACTGCTCAGATATTGTTTTGAGTATGCGAAATGTAAGTTTAGGAGCTGCTTAACTATTTGAGAAGCCGTCAAATATTTAAATGGCGTTTCAGTATTCGGCCGTAAGAGACAAAAATGCAAAAAGGTTGTGATCATACAGTAGCTTAGTAGAGACTAAGTAAATGACCTGATGATGATGATGGTAACAGTTCTTTGAGTTCTTCTTACTAAGTTTAATGGATGGTAACATTACTTTTAAATTGATAAAATCGACAACTAGATCGGAATAGTAGATGTCGTAGCTAGATCTTACAATAGATCAATTCATAATCAATGATTTAAGCTGAAGAAAGGCTTTCTGATGACAGATTCCTAGGTACTTCTACGTGACGTCAGCGATTGTCGTCGTATTTTGAATTTGAAACTTTGTGAAAACAATAAACTTACCTCTACTTGGCGTGTATATCTCTGCATAGTCATGGGTTGTGTCGCCGTCTGTAGATGTATTCGGCGTCGTTGGAAGCACGACTAAATTTTCTACTGCCGTCTGAAAAAAAGAAGAATAACTAAATTAGCTATAGTACGTAAAAAGCACGAAGCATTGCCATTTTGAACAGTCAGACAAACGACTTCTTTCACTAACAATGCCGCTGACATTTTGGTGCCTGATTTACGAGCGAAACGAATACATAGTTTCGTAATAAAACCTGTTGGTACCCAGCTTTTATTAAGCAGCATAAAGTCAATGTGCACATTACATGAATTACGAGGAAATCTCAGTCCCAAAAGACGCAAAGAAGAAGGCACAAAGGATTACTAATGTTTGGCCAAAAAACGTTTCCCAAATTATCACATCGCAAACAACGTTTCGCAAATTTTCATTTGGCAAATTCTCATTTGGCAAAACCAACTTATTGCAAACTTTTAATTCGCAAATGTCGTTTTTGGCATATTAATGTTTAGCAAATTATTGTTTGGCAAAGTTTGTTTTGCCAAATGTGTCATTTGGCAAAAATATTTCACGATAAACTATTTACAAAATAATATGATTGTCGCATAGAATGGACTACAAATTAGCTTGTGGTTATTATTTTGTTTAGTGGGTAGATAATATAAAATTTGTTCTAAATTAATTTTCATATTTCATTCTTTTTATCGAAATTCCCAAATGATTCATTAAACAATAGAGGTGATTCTAGCGTTTGGCGGCCGCTGCCGCGGCACGCTTCGCTCGCCTTCGCGCGTTAAAAGGGTCACTGTTCTAACCTAACCTAACCTACTATTTTCTGCGATACCTACTTTCTGCAAGCATACTATTTTCTGCAATCTCTTTGTTTTACATAAAATTCTTGTAATAACCTTGATCATCTGCCTTATGCTTTGATTTGTGGGTAACGGTGGGTAAGTATGTGAAGTGTCAATTTGACCAAACAAATTATTTGGGATATAATATTTGGCAAAATAAAACATTTGCTATATAAACATTTGCCAAGTAAAATTTTGCCAAATGATAATTTGACCAAATGAATTAGTTGCGAAAAGTACAGTTGCTAAAAGTTCATTTGGGAAATGAAACTTTGGCGATAAGTTGTTTGCGAAGTGAAATTTGGCGAAAAGTAATTTGGCCAAACGGAAGGATACCAGGCACAAACCTTAATTAATTAGGAATATTAGTATAGTTTATGCAGATAATTAAATACAAATTAATATGGTTCTCATTTGTCTAAATAGGTCAAAAGAACGCGTCTATAAATGGTACACTTACAATCATAATAAAACACATCGTTTCCCATCTTTATATCTCATGGGGTATTTATTTCCCAAAAGCTGCGCGTGTCAGCGACTCAAACGGCTCAAGGGTCATCCAAAAATTACGTCACGCTCACTAAAGAGGGGGGAGGACATGGAAATATGTCTGCAGACGACGTGCTAAGGGGGTGGAGGTATTGGAAATTTGGAACAAATAATTTAAAATATTGCGTGATTAATATTTTGGGGACTTTTATAATCATGTATTGTAAAGAACCTGCCGATAAAAATAGTTTTTCGTTTCTATTTATGAGAGATTTTTTAGGACCGACTATTTGTTAGAGTCAGCTCGATGTTCTGTTGTTACACTATACATTTGTAAGTCTTATGCAAGAAGATTTAAATTGATGAAAGCCTATTAGGTGTTATTAATTAGAGGATATAAACGTTTCTTTGTTCTATAAATGTACCACATAGATTATACTTTGCATTATAAAGTAACTTCATGTTTTATTTTGAAAAATTTTAACAGCATGCAATTTTCCATACACTTGTATTTTATCACCCCAAAACTGTTTATCTGAACTTTTTGGAGTTGCAGAAGGAGACTGGCACAAATTAATGGGCAGAGTACTTTACTAAATATATCATTGTTATAACTTACCGCTAAATCATCGGCCAGTAGACTGGCAGTGGTCCTCTCATCCATAGTTCTATTCATGGTGTTCAAGGCCGTTTGGTTGGCAGTGCTGACGGTGGTGGCTAGGTTGGTAGTACCGATGGAAAGGTTCCGCCTGTGCCTCACTGGCGTACTGTAGTGGGGCTCCGATGAGTTGATTGGAAGCTGGCAAAGAGAAGGTAGGGTAAGTTAAAAGCTGATCCGTCACTGTAGACACGAATAATCCCGTCTTTTAGGTGAAGTCTCTAGCAAGAACTATAAATTAGTGCAAGTTACATTAATCCCCTGTCATTTTGACAAAATTGTTTTGCAATAACTCAATCTTAATGGAAATTTTACCTAAAGTATTTAATAAGATCTGGTGTATACCATCTAATTGTTAAAGTTAAACAAACAACCAACTCTAGTCTAAGAAGAAAAATTCAAAATGTAGGAGGTAATACAGGGCAGAAAGGCTAGTGGTTACATAGATTGTTTATTGAAAATATTATGTTTCTGTAGGAGTTTTAGGACAAATTAAAGGCATTCGTGATGGCGTGCACTCTACGGGTTAAGTGTCTAATGTTAGAGATTAATATTTTCCTATTTAAAGCTAAGGAAGAGTTTCAAATTAATATTAATTAACATAACAGTTAACTTGTGCTCCAAAAGAATAATATAAAACACATAAATAAAGTCATTTTAAAGAATACAAAACCAAAGAACTAGATTTGAATAAGTTTAAAATAGGGTAAACTGCCAATCATTGGACACTTAAAGGAGTTATTGGACAGTTATTTATTGAATTAAAAATAGGATTTCTATTTCAACAACTAAGAGATTCCGACTGATGGAGTTAAGAGGGTGTTAAGTTGTAATTTGCGTTTGAAGGAATAAGTATTCATTCATTTTATGGACATTCAAAGGGCGTTTTGTCCAATGATTGGCAGCGCCCAATAACTGTCGGTTTACCCTGCTACCAAATAGGCTGTGAAAAACTAGAAAATTCGTAATAATAAGTGATTTTCCTTTAGAGCTGGCAGCAGAATCGAAAAGTTATCATTTATACTTTGAAAACTTTTACAGTGCTTTTAAATGCTTTAACCATATGACTTTTTCTACAAAGATTTTTACATTTGCTGTCCGCTCTTGCAACACATAGATTAACAGAAACAAGGTTAGCAAAAGAATTGAACACACGAACATTACGCCTAAGGACATCTAGGCTACCTGGGGCCCTTCGAGGCTCTCTGAACGCCTGCGATTTGATGCCAAGAGGCTTGCTGCGGATCGGGGCGAGCCCTCCTCAGTCCTCACTTCGAGGGATAGGCTCGCTCGAGTTGGCAGAAACTGAGGAGTTAATTTCTGTTATAGGGACTTATGTAATTAGAAGCAAGTTATATAATATGTTATTGATGTACATTCAACAGCACATCAGGCTATACATTTTTGTTACAAAATCGTATTTATTACGACTAAATAAGACGCCACAGTGTTTACGTTGACGTGCCGTCGTCTGTACTAGGCATTTTATTGTTGTAATTATTAGTTTATTTAATTTTAAAATTTTTATGTATTAAGTTGCTTAAGGGTTGACTATTTAATGGGGCAATACTAGCCATCACCAGTTAACTTTATTAGTTAAATGTCTGAATATGAACTCTGCTTTTAGTAGGTTGTATTAAACATTATTAAATTGATTACATTTAATAAGTTAAAATGTCTAATTTAATACTAAGTATGTAATTAAATTCATTTAATCTTTATTTTCATTAGTTTTTGTGTACAATAGTAATTATAATAGAGATGTTTATTACTTACAGCACAATTCCTGCTTCCCTGAGCTGCTATGTGGTTCCTTAACAGTTCTAATTGCTGGTTGCAGCGGTCGTTCTGTTCCCGGAGGAGCTGGTTCTGCTGCTCCAACTCCCGGAGTTTGTTCGTCACCCACTCTTTGATTCGGGCCGCTTTCGCTTCTACCTGCTTCGCGTCTTGGAGTCTTAGTTGTTTCTGGAATACATTTTTAAAATTTTAAAAACAGAGAAATGTAGTGTCCAGCTTTTAGCAATTCTTTAAGTAATATAATTATTACAACGTGCGATATACACAAGGATAAGTATTATGGATTGAAGCTAGTTGATTAAGGCGAGCATAAATGATTCCAATAAAATCCAACTAAAAATACTTTTTTGAATGGATTATCACAAGAATAGGCATGTCTTAAAATCAAAAACTACATAATAAGATGTCACAAATACCCAATTAAGTAGGTTACAGCTAAACAATAGTTTTTATTCACAAATTACCTTCATTTTGAGTTAAATAGACGCTTTACTTTCTAACAAAATAAATCCACATATTTTTGATCATATCTATCAGAAAGAGTTGTAGATAAGTAAATTGTTCTGCATATTTGCATTTCGCATCGATTTTTTTGCCATATTCAGTCAGAAATCATTTAATTTTACAAAAAACATCTTCAAAAACATTGATCGTAATCGCACGTCACAACAAAAGTTTGACAGTAGTAGTGACGTCTATCAAACTCCGGAAGTGACGTCCTAAAAGTAATACGTTCATATTATCTTAATTTTATTTAAAAAAATATCTCTACGATTATTTTAAAACCAAAGCATTAAGTTGCATTAAAACAAAATTAAAAATATGCCTTAAATCAAGCGGACTAGTTATGTCACATTAATCAAGTATGCTACCTTATTACAAACCTGTTCTTCAATCTGGCCCTCTAGCCGCGAGATGGCCCTAGGCGCGCCCTCAGCGCCCGCTGGCCACTCACACAGCCGTTGCTCCATGGCGCGGACCTGAAACAATCAACAAACACTATTAAGTAACGGACAAAGACCTTTTTTATGAAAATTAAATTAAACCATATTGTACATATTTCTTAAAAAAAGTACATTCTCAGTCTCTTTCAAAACTGTTTTTGTTTGCACATTTTAAAGGCTGACTGCAATCAAACCGCAGTATTATGAAACAAGAAGGCAAATACAAACCGCAAGGCTTGCCGGCTTACTGGTTGCAATACTTCTGTCCATGAGTGACAAATATCAAAGCTAAGCTAACCGCATGTTGCTACAACACGTATCGCGTTGCAGGATTAGATTCGACACCACTAACTATTAACTGTCGAAGAATATTATTTAAAGCTGTTTAGAAATAAAATTCAACCATCTAAACTAATCAAAATATGAATCTCGATTAAACTCGTAGAATACTAATATACCTACATATTTAAGTTTGTTTGCTTGGTCTAAAAAATAATCAAATTGTAACTAAACTTAGAATTAAATTTAATGTAGTTTTCGAGGTAGTGTCAGTTTATTAGTAACCGCAGGTGCACAAATCTGACCAATTATGCACTTCGTCAATTCAATTTATTAATCCACAGTAATCAATACAGCCCAAAGTACCACGTCGGCAACGCAAACAATTTGAAATATCGTGCTTTCAATTTGATCGGGGTATAGGGATTGGCTCTAGACAATCGGGCACGTTGCATGAGGGGCTTAACTAGCAATATTTGTAATTGAAACAAGCAGTGATTCGCCCCATGCGGATTATGTCCACCCTTGGTTGGTCCACACACCAGACAGAAGCACTGGACTTTAGGAATGACACGGCCATAACTTTTTCAATATTGTTCATTAGCTGTCTGTAAGGCAAATTATTATGCCTAAAGCAAATTACTTTTCTTTGAGCACGTCTTTGTATAATAGTGAGAAAGTTATTAACACCTGCTTCAATGCTGTTATGAAATTTTACCACAAATGAACTCATGGAATTTTATTTCACAACGATACGTTGCATTATTAAATTTGAATCCAATATACACTGACTTGATTATGTAGGAGCATTATTAAATTTTTATAGGGGTATTGAAGGTATTAATGGTGTAATTTAATTCATCAAATAAAATAAGTGATATTAAACATTATAGATTGTCATAGTATACGATTATACAACAGCATTCCGTTGGCTTCACGTCTCAGAATTTGGAGGGTGAATCATCGACGCTAGCTCAGTTTACAGGCTATAATCCTCATCACACACAGACATGGTTTCCGGGGCATTAAACACAAGTTACTTTACTACCTGAGTTCACTGACCGATTTCACTTTATTTGGAAATCTAGTCACTGTCCCAGACGCTTCGCTATTATACAGTGTGAGTCACGTTAAAGTGTACATATGAAAATAGATGAAACTAGACCTATTTTTATCGACAAAAAAGAGGTCAAAAAATTTTTGAGATTTTTTTTTAATTTTTTATAGAATTTTTTTTCTTCAAATTACTTATTGTAAAGAAAACGTAATAACTTTTAAACTAAGCGGTATATCCTGATAAAATAAAAACAGTAATAATGCTAAATAACAGGCGATACTAAAAAAATACATAAAATACACAAAAAATGCCAAAAAATAATAAAAAATGATACTTTTTGAAAAAAATCTGCTTAAAAATTCGTGTTTTTTTGGTTATTTTATAAATTTCTCAAAAAAATGCCCCCATAACAGGTGGTTTTTATTACTTTGTATTATTTTCTATCGTATTATCTTTGTAAAACCAAAAATCGCATGTCTCTATCCCTATCACAACATTTGCTATGATCGTTTGAACTAAGGCCTGCCACAACATTATTCTCCGCTACAGGTAGAGACAATTTTAATTTTAACTAAAATGCTTATTTTAATTCGAAATCTTTTGTTTTTATTTGAAATCTAACTTGTCTTTATCAAAATTACAAATCTAGAGCCATTTTCAGTTTTGTTGTTAACGAAGCGTTGAATGGCGCGCCCGGAGAGGCTTAGTTCAAACGATCATTGCAAACGTTGTGATAGGGATAGAGACATGCGATTTTTCGTTTTACGAAGGTAATACGATAGAGAATAATACAAAGTAATAAAAACTACCGGTTATAGGGGCATTTTTTGGAGAAATTCATCAAATAACCAAAAAAACACGAATTTTTACGCAGATTTTTTTCAAAAAGTATATTTTTTTATTATTTTTTGGCATTTTTTGTGTATTTTATGTATTTTTTTAGCTTATAAAGTGTTTACAGTCAATAATTTGGGGCGCTTTATCTATCCGTCAAATTAAAAGCAATTCGAATTCATGTATGGTTTAACTAAACCCTTTGACCATTCTTAAACAACATTATGCCCCTATACATAACAGCTGTTAAAAGGTTTCGGCTTTGTAAATTTACGCAATTCACGATTATTTAGACGCTACACGAAACGTAAGTTGCTAACGCGTCATGCATTATAGCGTTACACCATATCTATTATAATAACCGTTTCGGAACAAAGAAAGGTAAAGCAATGGGCAAAGGATCTATCCAGGAATAGCACGCATTAATCACAAAAGCCGTAATTTGCTTGACTCACGACACGAGGGGACGGGAGCGGAGCTTCTAAATCGGGTAACACTTAGACGGGCGAGGAAAAATAAGCAATAGTTAGCACTTGCTGAGGGAGCAGCTAAAAAACAAGAGACATGCTACAGTGGTCCAGTAGGTGCATTGAGACTTTTTGTTCATACTGTGGTTGCATATCACAGTATGAATTTAAAATAAATAAATATAATTATCCTTTATTGACATAAAGTATCACACTAAAATATACAACACAGTAATGGATTACAACAATCTCGATAGGTACACAAACAGTGATAGTGATTCAAAAACACTAAAAATCTGAAATTTTGTTTCAAAAAACACAAAGAGAACCAAGTAAAAATTTCCATTAAACATTTTCGTTTCGTCATACCTACGCGTAAGTAGTAAGTTCAAATCGAAGTAAATTAACTTTGTCCTTTAATTCCTTACGTTCATAGTTTAAGCTTTCTTTCATTTAGCACTGATATAATTATTATAATAAGAAACAATAAATTTACTATGAAACCGACATGAAAGCGCCGGTCATGAAATGACTAGCGCATGTTGCGGTCAAGTGTAATAGCGCGTGCGAGTTAACTCGACTCGGTTCATTACCAAGCGCTGTATAATTAAACTGTTGGCCAACCAACTTCCTTGTAACACCAGTAGTTAACAGTGCTTAATTTTGTGACATCTGTGTTACTCATAGAGTTATGGAGCTAATTAATGAAATGGGTTCTATAGCCTGACCAGGAACATAAAAACCCTCGCCATGTTGCGGAAAACTAATGGTACTAATTTCTTTTAATGGCAACAGTAACTGAAAAATTCATTGATGTAACCTTGCATGTCAGTCTATTGCTGTCAAAGTGTAAACAAACTTTATTTTAAGTGTGCGCAATTGATTTTGTGAATTAAAAAGCTAAAATCTTTTTATAGTCGTGAAAGAAAAGTGGTTCACAATGTGTTAAAATATTTGTCGAAGAGAAATACTAAGGGTTCGGACAATATTTTCATTGAATAATGTTTCCGACAAAGGTTGTCAAATTGACTGACATGTTTATCGTATAGTACAGTCCACTATGAAAATTAGCTGTGGTTTGTTTCAACTACCTATTTTATTTTTTTTGTCACTTTCTAAGTGTTGAATTTTATGGAATTGGGAAAGAAGTACCGAGTTTGAAGCGTTCATGAGCAGACATTGCAGTTGAATATTCAAGTTCTGAATTTGATTATTGATGAATAATAAAATAAATCCTTCTAGCTCGATTGATGGTTTCATTTAATTTATTTAAATCAGGTTACCTATAGTACCTAATATTTTTTCGTTAATTTATGAAAATATCAAATAAGCCGGTAATCCTGAATCCTGATACATAAAGTTAGCCTATTAATTTAACACAGGTACGACTGTACTCAGTGTTGCACTATCAAATGCAATTGACGCGCCTCTATGCCAGGGTTTTTATGTTCCTGGTCAGGCTATACATAGTCATAATTATATTTAGCATGTTGTTATTATTTATTTTTAATGAACAATGTATGCTTCTAAGTTTTCTCGGAGAACTTCAAAAACATTTTTTTTAATGTGACTATTTTGAAAATACAAGAGGCAAAGCTTTTGCATAAGAAACTACTACCTAAGTAGGTAACAGTAAATGTGAGTACGAGTAATCCTAGTGATTCTTTCATATGGACCAAGAACATTTTATACTATTACTGAGCTTTAAAGCCCCGTCTGCTTAAAAATCCTTATTGATGAATGACTTAGCTTCGAAAATATCAATAATGTGATCAACAATTCAGTTTACAGATTAGTCATCGGACCAAACGAACCGCATTGATTTAGTGCTTTGAAAATAACTCGCCACTGAACGCATCGGTAAACGCCACCGGATGAGGCGGTTCAGCCATCTTTTTTAGGGTTCCGTAGCCAAAATGGCAAAAACGGAACCCTTATAGTTTCGTCCTGTCCGTCTGTCCGTCTGTCCGTCTGTCCGTCTGTCCGTCTGTCACAGCCGATTTACTCGGAAACTATAAGTACTACAGTGATGAAATTTGATGGGAATATGTGTTGTATGAACCGCTACAAAATTATGACACTAAATAGTAAAAAAAAGAATTGGGGGTGGGGCCCCCCATACATGTAACTGAGGGATGAAAATTTTTTTTCGATGTACATACCCGTGTGGGGTATCAATGGAAAGGTCTTTTAAAATGATATAAAGTTTTCTAAAAAACATTTTTCTTAAAGTGAACGGTTTTTGAGATATCAGCTCTCAAAGTCGTAAAAAGTATGTCCCCCCCCCTCTATTTTTATAACTACGGGGTATAAAATTCTAAAAAAAATAGAGGTGATGCATGCTAATTAACTCTTTCAACGATTTTTGGTTTGATCAAAGTATCTCTTATAGTTTTTGAGATAGGTTGATTTAACTGTTGCTGCTACGGAACCCTTTGTGCGCGAGCCCGACTCGCACTTGGCCGGTTTTAGTTTTTGTTTTATTAATTTGTTTCAATTATTTTGTTTCTAAGTTTTGTTTTCTTTCTTTATTTTTGAGATTTTTAATGTGTAATATTATTTTTGTGTGTGCGGGTTGTTTTTGGTAGATTAGAGCTTAATGAAGCTACCTAAATTGGTAAGTTACTTATTACAAGTTTAATAAGAAAATAATGAAGTTAATCTAAAGGCACATTTACACTGCGCGGAAATTAGCCAAGTCAAGTAAAAAAAACTGGGGTAGGGATGAAAAATGAAAGATTTTCATCCCCACCCCATTGTTTTTTTGACTTGACTCGGCAAATTTCCGCGCAGTGTAAATCCGCCATAAGATAATACCTACATTTATTACTTACATAACTAATATTATTAGGTATAAGGAAGTAAATAAGTAATGTTTGTACAAAATAAAAAATAGGTACCTAAGTAGGTATGTTACTTACCTAAGTGAGTAAGTACCAAAGTAAATGCTAAATTGCAGTAATAAAATCAAAAAGTTAAATTATAAATGCAATGCGATTATGCGAATAATATTATTAAGTTCTCTCCTCAGACTGCACCTAAAGTTGTCCTTGTTCTTGTCCAAATAGCTTTTATGGGACCGAGCAAATGGTAATAATAACCGAGTAAATCCATAAACAAGTCCTCACTTCACATCATCAAGTGCTAATGCCGCACGCGTCGAATTCCTTATAACTCCTGGCGACCCAAATACAAGGAACTCCGGATGTCTCGCATCCGAGTCCGCTCCAATCTCGATGGCGATCGCAACGACTTTGATCTATTTCGGGAGACGTGTGCGACACCGGTAAACAGTGAACACTCAAGATTGTTACAGGCAGGCAAACAAAAAAGTTGGATGGATAGCCAGAAGCAACTAGGTACGGCCCGTATTACAAAACGGCACCTCGATTCTGGCATGGCTATTGATCCTTGAGACAGGTTTCAGGATTCAAGAAGTAACTCATTATCATGGCTAAGGCATCTCTCTTTTCTCTGTCATCGTCTTTTTTAATCGGACCAATGCTTCACTCGGAAGCGAAAGAGCAACTCTATCAAAGATAATTTCCATTTATGTAGGTACAGTTGTAACAGCTGCAGCATCACAAACAGTGACAAAAAGTACCTACACTCGGGCGAATGCAATCCAGAAACTTATTTGTTGCTTCGTTTGTTAAAAATATCTAGCTAAAGCCACACAGATTTTTTAAATAAAAAAATACTAACTAGCAAAGTACGGCATAATAAAAACAAACGTTTTAAAAGTGTCTTTATGTTACTGCACATTAATGGCCACTGCAAATGTAAAGTTCCCGCATAACATTACCTACTCGTACCTACCTACAATACCGTGCAGTCTCGAGCTGCGCTTTTCTAATTTATTATCTGTGGGCGCCCGAGCTCGGTTTACTTAGGTAAACTTAATTAGAACTTGAGATGTAAGAAGTTGTGGATAAAAGGGTGCCTGTATATGTATAGCGGAATTAATATTACCTCAGTGCCAAGAGCTACACATACGGTCCAATTAGCCAAGGAGGATTTATGCGAGTTTGGAGTTTAACTTAGTTTTACGGGGTTGTGTTAGTATTATCATACCAGTAAAACCAGTTCCTTGTACAACTTTGGATTTTAGGATGTATTAGTAAGAAGACTTTTACACACATGCTCATAATAAGAAGCTAAATGGGCCGGTATAGTGATTTTGGAGTTTGTCGTTATCGTGGCGAATACAAAATACGAACGATTTTTAAAGCAAGTGTAAAGTTTCCTTAAAGACAGGAGTGCCTTGGCAGCCCCCTTTTGTTGCAAATGGGCGATGGACGATAGTCGTTCCATTAAGTGAATTGACTGCACGCGCCGTCTCACTTTACGTTTAGAAGTTAAAAACAAAACTTTATTTGAGACTACAAAGTCCACCGATAATACCATTGGGCATGATCTGTGTTTGAGACGTAAGCTCAGAGAAGACATCGAACTAACTGTTCTTATTTACTAAATTAATTACATTATGGTAGAAACACTAATCTAACCCTATTTCAAAATTGCATAATTTCATGAAAAGCACTGAAGATATTGCCTAAAATGATATACAAATAAAAGGTAAGAAGCCAAACTTAAAAAAAATACTAAAATACTTTATCCACATACATCTTTGCAAGTCTTTCCCACTAATCACTAAAACAAAAAACTGTCACCAAAAGGCGCGAAAAGTTTTTCTTTTTTAATCACACATTCAGCTTAGTGCACACACAATAGAGTTGCAATCACCACGATCTTTTTGTTGGACCGTACATTTTTCCCGGGACGAAAACGTGCGCGTTCCACGCGGCGCGGAAGCGAACTAACCGACCGAGGATATCCTACAGGACGTGCCGCTTTTGCTTATGAGGATCGATATTTACATAGTGCTTTTAATATGCAACTGTTTGGTCGTTAAAAACTATTTTAATACGAGACGTGAGCTGTAGGCTGATGTTGCTGGCCACATTCCTTTAGCGTGTCGTTTATTACTTGAGAACTTCGGCGGTTTCGTTGACCGATTAAAAAGTTTTAAAATTGAAAATCTTCCTCTTTTAGTTTACCGATCCCCTACCAAGTTTTATAGCCTGACCAGGAACATAAAAACCCTCGCCATGTTGCGGAAAACTAATGGTACTAATTTCTTTTAATGGCAACAGTAACTGAAAACTTCATTGACATGTCACCTTGTATGTCAGTCTATTGCTGTCAAAGTGTAAACAAACTTTATTTTAAATGTGCGCAATTGATTTCGTGAATTAAATTGCTAAAATCTTTTTATAGTCGTCAAAGAAAAGTGGTTTACAATGTGTTAAAGTATTTGTCGAAGAGAAATACTAAGGGTTCGGACAATATTTTCATTGAATAATGTTTCCGACAAAGGTTGTCAAATTGACTGACATGTTTATCGTATAGTACAGTCCACTATGAAAATTAGCTGTGGTTTGTTTCAACTACCTATTTTAATTTTTTTTGTCACTTTCTAAGTGTTGAATTTTATGGAATTGGGAAAGAAGTAGATACCGAGTTTGAAGCGTTCATGAGCAGACATTGCAGTTGAATATTCAAGTTCTGAATTTGATTATTGATGAATAATAAAATAAATCCTACTAGCTCGATTGATGGTTTCATTTAATTTATTTAAACCAGGTTACCTATAATAATATTTTTTCGTTAATTTATGAAAATATCAAATTAGCCCGTAATCCTAAATCCTGATACATAAAGTTAGCCTATTAATTTAACACAGGTACGACTGTACTCAGTGTTGCACTATCAAATGCAATTGACGCGCCTCTATGCCAGGGTTTTTATGTTCCTGGTCAGGCTATACAATAATTAAGATAATAAATATTAAGTTAGTTAGTGCTTTAGGCTAGGCATTAATAGCATTACGTCTTCGTCTATTTTGGTACAAGATTAGAAGCTTATATTCTTCTCAATTTGTCAAGGGCTTAAAATACCGGTGACCAAATTAAACTAGCCAGCCGACTAAACAAAGAACTCCCAAGACTCGTTGAATGCTGCATACCAATAATGCGCGTGGACTGGAAACGGTAATCCTCGCTTTGTGAATAACTAATTCGATGGAATGGTGCTACTCCATGGAGGACCAAAGGGAACGGTTTGCCCCAGTGGTTTTTTTTCTATGTAGTAATTTTTTTCCTAAGGACTAAGGAGAAGAAGACTGAAAATTTTAAAATGTTTAAAGTTTAGGTAAGTTTAAAAAGCTTGTTAGAACGTTAAAAAAGTTAGGTAGCTTTTTTCTCACCGGATGGGAGATGTTTTTATTGGATTTTTTTGATTAGTAAGTTAATTAAGACATCTAATAATTAACTCCATGAACTTAAAAAACTAGAACCTAACTTTCCTCCTTATATTTCATCGTAATTAATTAAATACAGGGGAATGCCTTGCGCATGAAAATTTAAGCGTCAAATAAACACCCTCTCTAACTTTATGAAGTCAAGTTATTTAAATATTCGCATCTCTTGATATCTTTACGACCCGACATGCTGACACAAACATGGTCGCATTATGGCAATATTAAAATAATTTATAATTTAAGTAAAAGCTGTTCACAAGGGAGTTTACACACGTTACAGACGTCGTTTATGGAAATTACATTTGATGTATGTAAACAACATTCCTGAAATATTAATGAACTTATTTTAATACTGCATACATGATTCAGGGAAATTTCACGCTTAATTACCATGTTTATCAGGGCTGAATGTTTTACCATAACTTTACTGTAAAGATATTTTAGTCGCCTCCGATACGATCAAATCGTCTTTTATGAAATGTGATTCTGTAGAGTGGCTAGAAAATTAACATTAGTCCAAAAATATAGTGGAAATTTATCGTAATAAATGCTTAAACAACCTGACGTGTAGTTTGATCAAATCCTGGATGACTACATCTAGGATCTGATCAAGCTACATTTCATTACAATCTACAGGCACTACAATCACTAGATTCGATACACTCGTATCAATAAGGAGTTTGTCTACGAAAGCTGATTGATTGCTCTCTATAATGACGCAATGTTGAATCATGACTAATGAGACTTCACTAGATTTTTTTTCTATACGAACGAAGTAACGACACAGATTAACATAACTGGCAATTATTGTTGCGGAGTAACTTGAAAGTGACTTTTCAGTGTTAATTAAAACAAAAACTACTCCAAAAACTTCACTTCCACTCTCAACGAAAGCACAACACTATAATTCTTTAAAAATATTGCAGTCCACAGATTAAAATCGTAGACATTAAAATGGCGTCACATCCTCTTTATTGCTTCGCGTCTAGCACAATGGAAAACTATCCGCAATTTTTATTATAGGGTGGATATACACGAGCCCGTGACGCGTTGGATACTGTCCAGGGATCGAGGACGGCTTGTGCCAAGGCTAGCTTCGCCTTGAAAATAATCTTAAAAATGAGGCATTCCGGTGCCAAGAGTAAGTTATTTGTTTTGGCGGACCTCGACCGAATAGGTACGCATAGCGGTAAATAAGTAGGTTGTTCATCTTAGTTTGTGCTATCTACAAAACAAACTAAGATCTATTTATCGACAGGCTCCATAGTGGCGCGGCATCATATCAAACTGTGCTGTTTTGCCACAAAAAAGTTCTATTCTAGCTTTTGACTGCACAAGATGATTAGTATTTTGCGTTTCGGTACTTATCAGTAATTTTCAGCTTGATGTATGGTAACAGGACAAGCAATGAACATAATACATAAAATATAGGTACCTATAGTACATACTGAAAAAGACAGGAAATGCGCAAAAGTGAAGTTAATCTTCATCGATATACTGATAGTTGGATAGCATCCAGCTTGGTTTTAGAGGTCAATTAGGAATGCTTGCTTTCTCTTTGCTACTTTAACAAGTTGATTGCATTCAGTGCAAATGTCTTTCGAGTTATAGAAGTTTCCCCTGTTTCCCGTTTGTTGTGTTTTCAATTAAAACTCCATCGAAAATATGTATTGGAAGTTTGGAAGCAAGCTTATTTTAGAGTAAAATATTAGCGTAGCATGAGTTTCAAATTCAGTAGCAACAGTTCAATAGGCTAGAAACTTTTTTTGTCAGAAATTGTAAACAATTTGAGTCACTTTTGTTTATGTAGCCCTTAAAACTCTTTTATAAGCAGAAGTTTCGTAATTTTTGGAAGAAATTAGGGTTGGTATTTCATAAAAATACGACATAATTTTTTTCTTAAACTAATCTAATCTGAACATATCTAACAACGTAAAATGTATCGCATATGACCCATATAAAATTCGTTTAGTGTTACAATATGGAACCGAATTATCGATTACTCTCTACCCCTATAACATAGGGTGTGGCACCCCTGCTTTGATGCCATACTGACTCACTTGAAGGCATCAATTAATATGTTAAGATAATTTCAACTCTATTATTATGGTCGTTCGATTTCCTTTGCAATAATGTGTAGGTGAGTGGTTTTAGCAAGGTGATTAAATATTTGGACATACGAAGTTTGCGGTTTTATTAATATTTTATTGTTTCGAGCACACGCAATTTCATTTACGATAGATAGGTAAAAACCCTAAGTATTGACTTTAAAGTAGGTACTCGTATTCGGCACTGCAAGTAAAAAATGAATATCTACCGTAATATCGTTGACATTCATAGTATTACTAGCGGCCGCCCGCGATTTCGTATGCGTGGATCCCCTTTTACCCCCTTAGGCGTGGAGTTTCGTAAAATCCTTTCTTAGCGGATGCCTACGTCATAACATCTACCTGCATGCCAAATTTCAGCCCGATCCATCCAGTGGTTTGGGCTGTGCGTTGATAGATCACTATGTCAGTTAGTTACTTATACTTACTTATGTTTCGATACTCCACCTGTGGCTTTGCAAGATGCAAAAGGTGAATTCACACACATTCGATAAGAAGGAAAATGATAACAAAGTGAAAATACGAATAGAAAATGTGCATTAGCATCTTGCCTAAGGGGCTCCTCCGGCTGAGTTGTTAGCGTTAACGGCGACTTCTGTTCAGGAAATGTAAAATAATTTTACTTTGAGAATACCGATGGGAATGCCAAGGTAGACAGGTTATTAATAAATGTTTAATACCCCTGGCCTTGTGGCGGGAGAAACTCCTGGAATTGTTTAATTAAAGTGGCTGGTGACGTCCAGCTCCACATGCCTTGGAGTTTGTTGATTTAATTAAGTTATGACAAACTCCGACTAGCTAGAGTCTAGACTCAATGTCGGTAGATAATAACGAAGAGCAGGAAGATATCTTTTGTGGGTCTAGACAAAGTGCACATTTTAATCGCAAACCAGCCGAAAAATGGTCGAAAAGCTTTTTTTGTATGGAGTTTTGACGGATTCGATTTGATTAAAAAGTGCAACTTGTCTAGGGGGGCTGATTTCTTGAAGTGAAGACACCTTTTAATTTTACTATGCATGCATTATCAATAGAATTCACGTTTTATACAGTCGAGTTTTTGTCTTATTGGTTTGCAAAACATAATAAAGTTATTTCAGGTTATTTCCAACGAATGGCCATTCACGTAGGTTCAGTTGCGTACAACCTTGGCTGCGTATTTTCTTAACCACACATGCTTAGTTGAAGCTAACCACTAAGGCTACCCGATAGTAGCATTTACATGAAACGATTAAATATAACTTATAATAGTTTTCATGTTTTGCATATTGTGTGATTTACTGAATGTTAAAGCTACGGACTCGTACAAACAAAGTATTTAATTGCCTTTTCGACTAACTAAGCTAGTATTTGCTTGTTTAGACATT